TTCAAAGGAACAGGATAACTGTCTTGGTAGGGGCTAATTCAGCTGATGACTTTAAGTTGAAGCCAATGCTCATTCACTATTTAGAAGATCCTAGGCTCCTTAAGAACTATGCTAAATCTACTCTTTCTGTGCTCTATAAATGGAACAACAAAGCCTGGATGACAACATATCTGTTTACAGTATGGTTTACTGAATATTTTAAGCTCACTACTGAGAACTACTGCTCAGAAAAAAAAGATTATTTTCTTAGTATTACTGCTCATTGACAATGCACCTTATTACTCAAGAGCTCTAATGGAAATGAATGATGAGATTAATGTTATTTTCAAGCTGCTGACACAACATCCACTCTGCAACCCATGGATCAAGGAGTAATTTTGACTTTCAAGTCTTATTATCTAAGAAATCCATGTCATAAGGTCATAGCTGCCATAAATAGTGACTCCTCTGATGAATCTAAGTAAAGGACATTAAAAACCTTTTGGAAAAGATTCACCATTCTAAATGCCATTAAAAACACTCGTGATTCATGGGAAGAGGTCAAAACATCAACAGTAACAGGAAGAAGTTGATTCCAACCCTCCAGGACGGCTTGGAGAAATTCAAGACATCAGTGGAGGAAGTAACAGCAGATGTGGTGAAAATAACAAGAGAAATAGAATTAGAAGTGGAGCCTGAAGACGTGACTGAATTCCTGCATTCTCATGATGAAGCTAAAATGAATGAGGAGTTGTTTCTTCTGGATGAATGAAAAAAGTGATTTCTTGAGATAGAATCTACTCCTGGTGAAGATGCCGTGAAGATTGTTGAAATGACAACAGGAGATTTAGAATATTACATAAAGTTAGTTGATAAAGCAGCAGCAGGGTTTAAGAGGATTGACTCCAAAATTGAAAGAAGTTCTACTGTGGGTATATTGCAGTCAAACAGCACTGCATGCTACAGAGGAGTTGTTTGTGAAAGATGAGTCGATTTATGCAGCAAACTTTGTTGTTGTCTCATTTTAAGAAATTGCCACAGCTGCCCCAACCTTCAGCAGCCACCACCCTGATCAGTCAGCACTGAGGCAAGACGTTCTATCAGCAAAAGGATTATGACTTGCTGAAGGCTCCGATGATGCTTAGACTTCTTTAACAAGAAAGTATTTTTAAATTAAGGTATGTACTATTGTTTAGACATAATGTTATTGCATACTTAATAGACTACACTATAGTATAAACATAGCTTTTATACACACTGGGAAACTAAAAGAATTGCATGACTCAATTTATTATGATTTTGCTTTATGGTAGTGGTCTGGAACCGAATCCGTAATATCTCGGAGAAATACCTACATGTACTGAATATGTTAAAAGTTAGGCATTGAGTTTATTTTATTTTAAATAAGGAAGCCAGGCTAGAGAAATATGATTCCCATGTTATATAAAGTGATTGCGTCACTGGTCCTCTTCTTACTTGATGTTAAGAGAGAAGGAGGTTCAAAAGGCAAGCCCCCACTTCTGCCGTAGCAGCCTCGGGGGAAGGCGCATGCAGAGGCCTGTTTCTAGCAGACATGACTGCAGTGGGAAGCCCAAGACAGCAGAGTGAGGACCCAACCCTGACCTGGGAATGGAGGCCGCTGTGGTGCAGATCCTGCTTATGCAGGTTATGACTTGAGACTAAACAAGACCCCAATGTGATCCTCTAAAACAGCTTATTCCATAATCCAAGAAAGGTCAGTAGTATCACAAATGTCAGCAGCCGTATTCATCTTGAGAGAGTTGCCTGCGCCAAGCCAGTGTCCTCTGCTGGGTGTGAAAATGGGAAAGAGCACTTGGTGCCACTTGGATGATTTCCTTGTCCACAGAACCTCATGTGGTTCCTCACTGTTTTCCTTTTTCTCTTGTTAAAATGCTGGATGTCACCATTTAAACCAAGCTGAGGGCAAGGATGATTTGAATGTGATAGTCCAGAGACTGTCCAGTGTAGCTCTGCTTTATTCATCAAAGCCAGTGACTCTGAACCAGGAATTCTGAGTCCTGTGGTCAAAGCTTGGGGATTAGTAAATAAACTCTTGTCTTTCATTAGGAATACAAGATGTTTTATTCGACGAAGCAGCATTCGTATTTTCTCAACTTCCTGAGCTTTCAATAAAACCATAGTTCCAAAAGACATACTAAATTTAAAAAATAGAAACATAAAATACAAAGCAGTGAAAACACCATTGCCCATATTTGTTGAGTGAAAATCTTACTCTTCCAAGGTTGTCATCCTGTTACCTGTTATAAACTTCTACTAATATAATAACATTATGTATAAACAAGTCAAATTTTGACTGAGATCAATTTATTATCCCTCCATTCCTGTTAAGAAGAAGAAAAAAAAGCTCAAAAGCTAAAATACAACTTCAAAGTCACTGAAGTCTCTCTTAACCACAATAGAAAGATTACATTAAAACCAGAAGCACATTTTCATCTGTGTCAAAAATGTGATTGGATTGCTTGAGCAAGATATTAAACCAAATGAAATTCTTCCCAAGTCAATGCAGAAGCTCTACAGATTTGTTTGTTTGTTTTGACAATGGAGACACATTGAAGGCTGACACCAAATAGAAAAGATAGCTTTTGAAGTCATATTAGTTTGATGGGGACTCCCTTACCATTCCTCCATCAAAATGTGCTATCCCATTATGAAGAACCTCCAAACTGCTTTTATGGAGTTTATATTCATTGTATTCCTGTCCTGAATATTACTTCTGTTCAAGTAAGAATTCTTACCTTTCCTCAGTTATCTAGACTATCTCAAAAGAATCAAGGTATTTTGCAGCCTTTTTTATGAGACAGTGAAGCCAATTCCTCAGCTTACCTCCCCACACAATTCCTCTGGCAATTTAATACTTTAATAACAATTTTGAAAGATTATTTTCAAGTGTTATGCACTTTATTGGATTAA